GAAAGAACAAGAAGCGGAGAAACAGTTGAGAAAGTGTGAAAAATTCATTGTGTTAAGGGAAGGGATTAAAACACACTCTGGAACAGGCAACACTGGAAGTGAAGGGTAGAGCAGCCACACAGCAAGTGAAGTCGTCTCTGCCCCCGTATTTGGGACCGGAACAGACAGCCTCAAAGGGAGGGACCTCCTTTAATAGGGAGGAAACCCCCCCTAGGGGGCAGTATCCATCCATCGAACTAACACAGGGGACGCTGGTTTTAGAAAATACCAATATCAACCCATTTAGACAAGCAGCAGCACCATCATGTGGACTGTTGGAGGAACAGCCTGAAAAGCCTACCCTGTTCAGCACCTCCATGGTCCAAAATAAAAGTTTTTGCACCTCTTCCACTCATAAACAAAGAGGAACGGGGGTGGCAGTCAGTCCAGCCTAAATTGCAGCATGGGCTCAGGAAAGAACGAAGAGGCGAATAAAACAGAAGAACATATAAAAGAAACCTTAGAAAAAAATGGTGGCTCACAGCAAAGAAATGATTAAACAATGCAAGCACAGAATGGAGAGATTAGAGCATGAGCTGCAGGTTACACAAAGAAAACAACCAGTCAGAGTATCGATAACTGCTAAAGGAAATTCGATACCCAAACAAGAAGAGCAGGAGAATTTCTGATTGATAACAGAGGAGGAAATAGATCATAAAATTGACAAACTAAAAACCACATTAGGTAATTTACGAGATGTTGAGTCCTCACAAACAGCCCATCCCTCTGGTAGAACCCACACAATGACAACAAGAGGATTAGATAAAAAAATAATAATAATTGATGAGGCTGAGTACATGTTTCCGTTACTACAATCATCCCAGGGTCGCCAGAAATATGTGCCCTTCCCAGTGGGAGACAGAGATGCTCTGGTTGACAAACTCCCAAGTATCTCTGCAGGAGGCAGATTGTGGTTTTCGGAACTAAGTGGTCTCACCAGTGGAATGTCCCTGGCCCTAGGAGACTTTAGAGTAATCCTGGGACAGTGTGTAACGCCCCTGGTGGCCAGAGAATTAGAAACAGTAGCACGCACCAGTAAACTGGGCAACGAGGTCCCACAGAGTCGAGTAATAACAGAGTTAGGACGTGCAATCAGAGACCAGTACCCATTGTACACTCCAGCAGCTACCCCCTAGTTTGAGTGGGAACCTCAAGTCCACCCCAAAGATTATTTTACCCTGGCGGTTGAAAAGTGGATGAGACATACAACAGTAAATCCTAAAGGAACACCTTCTAATTTAACTAAATTATTTAGAGAGGCAGTCCTGAAGGGAGTGCCCACATCTGTGGCAGAACTAATGAGACAGAATCCAGATCTCCCTTGGTGCGACTACGATACGTGGGAAAAACATCTAATTTCACCACCTACAAACAATATGAGAAGAACAAAAAAAAGAAAAATAACGAGAAAGCTGAATTAGAAAATTATTTGCTTAAATTACAGCTGCAGGAAACTAGACAAAAAGCAACAAAAAAGGAAAGGACAGATAATGTGATGGTTGCAGCGGCTCCACAGCCGACGCCTTCTCCTGCTGGGGCACACTATATTAATCAATATCTTGGAGGATTAGCCCCTCCTCCTTCTCCTTATTCTACAAACCCTCTCCCTCCTCCTCCTCCTCCTTTTTATCAAAATCAATACAGGTCTGCTGGCTTTGGTCGTAGCAGGGGCTGGCGTGCTGGTGGTGGCCGAGGACAGAGGGGCATGGGACGGGGACAAAGGGGAAGAGGTGGATATGGAGGAGCCACTCCTGACATCTGCTACAACTGTGGAAGACCAGGCCATTGGGCCAGAGATTGCCAAGTTCCACCACAAGGACGAGCGCCACCCAGTGGACAACCAGATGGACAGTACTTGATGCAACCAGTGGCTCCTGAACATGCTGATATCTACTGGGGCCACATGACTGCTGAAGGGTCTAGTCCACTGTTGAAGCTGTTCCAACAATGAAAGCCTTGGATCTTGAGTCTACGCGCCTGTAGTGAACCTGATCTCATGTCAAATCTGACCAGATGGACAGAGACTGTTATTTCATTGAACTGCATTCAGAAATACAGTTTGAGCCATCTGGAGACTTTCTTTCTTGAATTAATCAAGTAGAAAAGACAATTCTCTATGATCATTACTATTTTACAAATGTTTGATAATCAAATTGTGTTAGTTCACTCAATGTTTACAGGTTGAAGAGAACTACTCATTTTATTTACATAAACAGTAAGTAATGATTTTTATTCCTCATTCAAAGAAGAAATCAGGGTAATATGCATTTCTTGATTTTTCTGTCTTCAATGAGCAAATTTGTAAGTATGTTAAAGGTCGAGTTTCGGTCAACTAAAAGTTTACTGAAAAAGAAATGTCATGTTTAACTGTTACAGCAGATAATAAGAGTAGAGACTCCACGAAGTCTGAAGTTCTCCAATAATCTTTCTGTCTGTCACTAAAACAATCCTTGACTTTTCATAACACCTTACATCACAAACCACACCTCTTTTCTGGTCCATCGACCAATCAAAAAGCTCTCAAATGACCCGGAAGTCGACCCATTTAAATGTGGCAACTTCCCAGTCTAGCAGCGGCGCTCAAGATTGAGATTGAGTTCAACATGGGAGTTTTCAGAGCTTGAAAGTTTTCCTGGAGAAGAGTTCCAGACTTTAACTCTCTGAAGAGAGTTAAAGAGTTCAGAGTTCTTGGATGCTAACGCAGGCGTCCAGAATGCTTCTATTGGAATATAGAATGCAGTGACGATTTTGGGAATTATAACTTCTGTTTGGATAACCTCGCACGACTCTCGAAGTATTTTAGCTGCTCTCAACGGAGACGCTGAAAGAGTCAAAGGAAGGATTCTATACCGACGCTGACCTATCGTCAACCAGGTAAAAGTTCTACTTCGACCAAGCGTACCGTGAACAAGCTGAGAACTGAAGGAGCGTGCACGTTTCTGGTCAAACAGATTAATTCCCTCACACATCTCTCTGTAAGATAAATCTCCATTTTCCATCTTAAACTCTCCTTTCTCCTAAAATCATTACAGCTATTTTAGAAATATCTGAAGCAAAGTTCTCAATCACCGCCGTGTGATTGATGTCTGTCTGTTTCTGCTGAGAAGTGAGGACAATCGCCGTATTGTTCCAACTTTCTGTGAACTTGCCATTGTTATTGTTTTCATATTTTGCCAAATTAATGTAAATGTTTGATGTTAAACTTTGATTCTGCAAATAAATGACCGCATTCATTTGATGGGTCAAAGATAAATAACGTCTCTCGTTACATTTCTGTTAAACTCGATACACGACATGTACACAGTCAGAAAAATGAAGAACTCGTCTTAAACAGTATGAATATATCTGAACTATGTCATACTACACGCCTATGTCTCTCCTCCCGACCCCCCGCATGTCACACTCTTCTATGACAGGAGACACGCATACTAGTATCAAGAGGAGTTTACAGCTGAATTGGAGGATAATATTTGGACAATTCACACACAAAACATTTATGTGGCCCCGGCTGGGGCGGCAGTGGAGTTAACTCATGAACAATTACTGTGGTATCAAATGAGTGATGAAGCCATGCCTCACATATCTCGCTCTCTCCATGTTGAGCATGAAGCAAAGGAGCTGGGAGGAATGGTTAAACGTTCCCTGGCAGCTACGACTGGGTTCCCACCTCAGTACCAGGTCTGTGCTTTTCAAATTCTTGTGACACATACAGAATCTCCTCTCACACAGAAGAGCAGGTGATGCTGGAACACGAGTTGTTGGCTTGTGACCACGGGAGAGAGAAGACTGATCATCATTCTGCCGCAGCAATGTTGGCCTCCATACCCGAAGGATTATGGGCCATATCCCCCACGGACATGGGAAAGACACAGTGCAGCCCGATCACCTTTCAGGTAAACACAGATACACCTATTTGGGTCCCACAATACCCACATAAACAACAAGCAGAAGAAGGAATTACACTTCAGGAGTTTTAGAACCCTTGCAGTCTGAGTGGAACACACCCATCTTGCCTATAGAGAAAAAAAGGAACCAGTAAATATCAAATGGCACACGATCTATGAGTCATTAATACAATATTAAAAACACCCACAGTACCTGTTCCAAATCCTTATCTCTATCTCATCTCTGGACCCTACACACCACTGGTATAAAACTGCAGAGATTTATTCTCATTTACATATAAAGGACAGCAGTGGCGCTACACTCAACTCCCACAAGGATTTGCTCTGTCTACAGGTATCTTTAATCAGGTGTTAAAAGATGTACCGAAGTCTTGCCCTCTCCCCAGAGACACCAAACTGATCCAATATGTGGACGACCTGTTATTGGCAGCACCCACGCCTGACACTTGCATACAAGCAACTAGGTTGGTGTTGGAACATCTACACAAAATGGCTTTAAGATTAGTAAAAAATAAATTACAGATTGGCAGAAAACAGGTCTCCTTCCTGGAATGAAAAATCTCTGCAGGAACCACTAGCATGTCCAAAACTCTTGACACACCCCAAACCGACACATGTAAAATACATGCTTTCCTTTTTGGGCCTAACAGGGTACAGTAGAGGGTATATTCCTAAATACACAGATTTGACACAACCCCTGAGGGATGTGGTCAAAAAGCAAGGCATGAGAAACTTGAACAGCATTTTGATATGGACACAGGAAGCTGAAGAAGACCATAAAACTGAAACAACACGTCATCTGCAGCAGAACTGACATCACCTGATTACAACCTACCCTTCTTTTTTAGATGTTTCTGTAACAAAGCTAGCCATAAATGGTGTTTTGTTCCAGAAAAAAGGGGGTGAGAGAAAGGTACTACAGTACTTATCGACAATGATGGATAATATGGAAAAACGGCACCCCCCATGCACACAACACGCAGCAGGGATTGCACAATTAATTCTTTTTTTCCCCCCCCTTTTATACAATTTATTTTCAAAAAACAGACAGGAACGTTATGCCATCAGCACACAGGCTCCGCCCACTGCCTTGATCTTCTCCTCCGCTTGTCGGCTGAAGAATTTGGCCTTAACGATCACGGGCTGCTTGGACAGTTTGCCTTTGCCCAGAACTTTGTAGTAGCCAGCGCGCACAGCATTGACGACAGGGGCAGGTCCATCGGGCTTCTTTGCATAGTGGAGTCTGGTCTGCTCACTCACCAGCATCCACAGCTTGTCCAGGTTTATGGTGGGGCAGTAGGATATGTTCCTCTTCAGGTGGTAATGTCTCATACCCACCTTACCAAAGTAGCCAGGATGGTATTTATCAAAGTTGATTCTGTGGTGATGCATGCCACCAGCATTACCACGACCTCCAGGATGCTTCCTGTGCTTGCCAACGCGACCATGTCCGTGGCTGACGTGTCCTCGGAGTTTCCTGGTCTTAGACTTCTTGGTCGGCATCTTGGAGGCTAGATGAAAGAGCACAATTAATGTTACACATTTAATTCTTAAAACAGCACACATTGTTTTGGGACACGCCCTAGTGGTATTAACCACACACAGTGTATTGGCCTATGTAAATTTTCAATGCTTTACTATGACCGCTTTAAGACAACACAGGTTATCTAAAGTACTAGAAGCCCCCAACATCACCTTCACACATGAAGGAATAAACATGGCGGACTGCATCTCCAAAGGAGAACCGCACCAGTGTGAAAAGCTTGTAACCACACTGGAAAAAGTAAGACTGGACCAGCAAGCTGACTAACTAATTTTTCTATAAAATTTAAGCTTTGTCTAGTTGATTTCAATGCCTGTATTTAAACTGTTGTTTGTTTGTTGATGACATGCGAAGGATCCGACGTGGCTGAATGTTTAAAGCCCCATGTAAAAATTGTGACATAATTTTTGCTGACATTAAAATCTTTACAAGAAGCGTGCTCAGTCCGAAAGATGTTCCGGGTGTAATTACCTGTCGCTGTTTACTAGAAACACGTTAAAACTTGGACGTCTGGAAAGCGTCAAGAGATGTGGTCATGTGACAGTTCGAAGAAAACTCTACTGGGTTTTTGGGTGCCTGTGGGGAGTTTTTTGCTAACTCCTCAAAAGAAGTTGATGACCTCGGGTTTCTGTTTATTATAGCCTCCTTAGGTCTGTAGTTGAAAACAGACTGGTCAACAATACATCCCCGAGCAACATTTTTATTTATTTTTTCTCTTGTGCTCGAGGCTGTGCTTCTGATACGGCAGAATCCTTAAAATAAACACCTGTATTTGGATGATTCCTAGAAAGAATGTAGAAGAAGAATACCTGCAGATGACCATATGGAGTGGTTATGGTTAAAGACAGGGATTGATAGCTTTTTAGAATAAGCAGTGATGGAAATATGTTTTTATAAGTTGAGGGACAAACAAGAACCTTAGTTAGGAAGGTATAGGGAAATATAACATTATAAGATTCAACTTGTCTGCTGGCCTCCTTAGATAGAGAACTTTACTAATTGGCTTTTATGTATGTGAATGTTTCTGAAAAGTGTCCTGAGACAACTTTGTTATTTGGCACTATATAAATAAACTGAATTGAATTGAATAAATGCTATGTATATTTGTTGCATGAATGATGTTGGAGTGTGAGTGAGTGTCTGCTGTATGAATGATAGTGTGTGTTCGTTAATGTATAACTAATATGGGTTACTTTACAGATGTATAAGATTGAAAACTGATAACTTTATCAGCCATCTAGTACAAGGTCACTTAATGACAGGAAATGTACATAGACTTATAAAACCAAAGGCGGAGGAAAAAATCATCACATCAGGCATATACGTAATTGGTAAGTGACCTTTTTATATTAACATACATTTATTTAAATAACTTTTCAAGACCAACAGGTACAGTTCAAACTGTCCAGACAGAAAACAGAAATCTCCGCACTCAAGTTGATAAAAAAAAGGGGAATCCCTACAGTGTTCTAGTCCTGTTCTTACTTCTTCCAGTAGTATGTACAGATTTTTCCATATCCAACTATGGGGGCATCGAGCTGAATTACACCTTGGGCAAGGCAACCATCTTCCAGTTTGACCTGTGTAGTGTCATAGCGTGTAGAGAACACCAGGCCAGCTGGAGAGTGTATGATCTTTATTTGTGTGTGACGGCGTTTAACCCAAAAAGATGTATGGATGAATTGCATGCGCTAGAGGCCTGGTGCCCAGCCTGGAGCTCAGCGATCACCTATATTGGCCCATTTTGGACCCCAGACTACTCAGCCACGTACGCACATAAGCTACGGGACGGACTATCCCGTGTCTCCCTCCAAAGGGGGCAACTGATTGGCAAACTTAACTAGAGATGCTGTAGAGGGTCTGGCTGAGCAATTAGGACCTACCTCTCTGATGGCCATACAAAACTGCATGGCACTGGACATGGTATTAGCCGAAAAGGAGGGAGCCTGTGCTATGATTGGAGAAAAATGTTGTACTTTCATCCCTAACAACACTGCCCCGGACGGATCGGTGACCAGAGCACTGGAGGGACTGAGAAGACTGTGTAAGACCATGCACGAACACTCAGGCAGTGAGAACCCCTTAGAAGAATGGTTTTCAAACATGTTTGGTAAATGGAAAACATTAGTAATATCTCTGGTAATGTCTTTGGCTACATATTTAGGGATCATGGTAGTCTGTGGTTGTTGCTGTGTGCCCTGCTGTTGTTCACTGGCGGTCAGATTCATCACTTCTACAATCGAGAAAGGTGGCAGTGAGTGCCCTCCTGCTTACTAAATGTACAGCCAGGGACGATACATGGAACTATCCTTAGTGGCCATCGCACCACTACTAGAAGAGGCTGACTGTTCCCGCCAGCTTTAAAGTTGCCTGTTTTGCTAAAATGCTGCATTGTGTGTTTACCAAGAAAGATGAGGGAAAGTTTTTTTTCCTGTACAGTTGGGGTATGGGTCAAAAATGACTACTGTCACAGAGGCATGAGGTGATGTCCTGCTTTCCTCCTTAAAATGAACAGCTGCCTCAGGGATTTTTCCTGGTCATGCAGAGCTACACCTATTCAGAGATGGATAGTTAGGAGTAAAAGGTGAAAAATGTAAAGATGCTCCCACTAAACATTAGACGTCGAATGGATGCGCAGATCAAGTTTATATTGAGTCCGTTGGTCTAGACTAATTCTGGACGTCTCCACGACGTGCAAACAAGGTCCACTCTGGACGTCTAACCATGACCTGACTTGTACGTCGGACTTGGATGTCGTATAGACATCCAAGACAGGTGCAGGTGTGCCTTAGTGAATCATAATTTTTATAACCATAAAATTTACAATCATAATTTATAATCATAAAAGAGTAACTGTGCACAGTTACTCTTTTATGATTATAAATTTGCACGGCTTCATTCATAAACTAACTGTTGCTATTTTCTCTCGAAGCTGTTTCTGTTAATCCAGTAAAGAGGATAAAGGAAAAAAATTTAAGGAGTGATTTATTTGTAAAACTTAGTCTATCTGTTTCTAGTGACATTTAATTGTAAACCTAGTATCTGTAGTGTGTGGTTTCCTGTTGCACAATAGATGGTCAAATATACAGTTTCTTTAACTTTGTTTGCCGCACAGAGATGGCGCAGCGGCAGAGCAGCTTACTTTAAACCCGAAGGTCCTTGGATTGAACCCCAGTCATTCCAACATCCATCTGAGGGTGAATGTGTTAAACACTGCATGGGAACATACAATGACGACAACACAAAGCACTTACTAATTATATTATTATCTGAAGTGAATAAAATAAGTTAAATTTTGATGTAGAAAATATGTCTATATTGACCGTCTATTGGACGTCGGAAAAAGACGTTGTCTGTCGTAACAGTCTGCACCTGGGAGGGACCCAAATTAGATGTGCAAAAACGACTTAAAAAAGACGTCATTTAGACGTCTCCTTGCTCAGTGGGCTCTTATCTGCTGTGCTGTATTGCTCGATATAGCACAACTGTATCTTGTCCTTTATTTGTATCTGCTTGGCTTTTGGATCTGCTTGTCTTTTGGTATCAACAAGTACAGATTGAACTAAGTCAGAGAATGTATTTGAGTTTGTTGTGTAAGGGACATGAACTAACAGGGAGCTGCTGGTGTGTGTCCCACCTGATGACAAGATCACCAGTAAACTGGAACGGCAGAAGAAAATAATAAAACAACTCCATAAAAGGACTTCCAGGAAATGGAGACATCATTTTGAACTAGTTTGAGCTTCCGGGAAGATGGCACCGCTGTTCATGGCCTGCCCTCCACCTCTGTCTGCAGTGATTGTGTTTTTTCTGTTTTTGTCATTTTTCATCTACAACATTGACTCACTGCTGGTTTATGAACGTCATCAACTCCTAAATCTCCGACTATCTGCCACCAGTCTTGCTTTGTTTGATCATAATGATCGTAACTCCGGACCCCCTCTTGGACCCCCACCTATGCTTGAAGACGTTCCTGTTTACCTCCGCCGTGGTATCCTGCCCGGTCCAAGACATCGCTCCAGGCGCCGTGGAAAACGGGCTGGCCGTCTTGAGAGGATCAAAGCCTGGCGGGCTGCTGCTGTGGCTTCCTCTTCAACCGAGGACCACATCTTAAATCACCTGTCCTGGCGCTGCGCTGAGCCACCTGAGTCCTTCCCGGTCCCACGGGTCGGGTCGCGCTTCCACAGCGGACCTGTTCGCCGTGGCTGGGCTTCCGGTCGTTGGAGTCGCAGGCCGAACTCCACAAATCTGAGACCGCTGGTCTTAGCTTCATGGACAACTTCTATTAACTATTTTCAAAAAACGTTGGAACTACAAACTGGTACAGATACTAGCTAATTTTTTGAGCTTCGAACTGCTGTGGTTTGAGGTGGGCTGTTCAAATCCATTTTTTTCTGCTGTGTTATACAGGCCACCCACATATAATAAGGACTTCATGGCTGAACTCTGACTTTTTAACTTGGATTCTGATCAGATATGATGGGGTTTTGATTCTGAGAGATTTCAATATACATGTCTGTTGCCCTGAAAAGCCACTGACTCGGGACTTTCTAGATCTGATCCAGTCTCTGAATTTTGTACAGAATGTTGCAGGACCAACTCACCAGCATGGCCACACATTGGATTTAGTGTTAACCTATGGTTTTTCTGTTTCTAAGTTAGAAATTGGGGATGCGGTTTTCTCCGACCAGAAACCCATTTCTTTCAACACTTCTTTTGTCAACGAGTCCAAACCCCATCCCTCTCCAGCCAGGCCTTGTTGAATATTTAACCCTTCCACTGCTGCGCTCTTTTCCTCTGCTTTTACTAAAAACTCTCTCTCAGTCTCTGAATCCTCTTCCATCAACGCCCATGAGCTAGTCACTGTACATCAAGATACCTGTGCTAAGGTTCTTAACCTAGTTGCACCATTAAAAATTAGGCATCCAAAGCACACTCCACACCCTTGGATGAATGAGATCACTCGCGCAGCCAAACGT